CTAGCTTTTACCATAATTTCCATTCGGCTTCTTGAATGCCTTTCAATTTGAGCTTCCACCCATATCAAATGCTTCACCTGAGTGCTAAGTCGATATGTCATCAGGTCAAATGCTCCATCAGGAGGCACAAATGATATTGTTCTGGTGGAACTTAATGTCATCCAAGTCAATGAAAATGAAAAAGTATCTATATATATATAATATATGTGATATAAGATTTAAAAGAAAATGAAAAATTACTGGTGGAACTTAATGTCATCCAAGTCAATGGCTTTTCCCTTTGTAGTTCGTCCTTGTGCCTCCAATATTACTCTATCATTCAGTCCAAGCTTACACTCAGGCATACCAATGTAACAAGAATGAAATAAAGAACCCTAATTTGAAACTCACCTGGAAAATTAAACAAAAAAACAATAAATGAAAAACTGAAATCAAGAACCCTAATTTGAATAAAGAAGATGGAGATGGTCGATGAAGTGATTAGTAGTGTTCACAAGGGATATATGGAACCTATAATTGGAGCAATACCAGAAGAAAAAAAACTCTTTCAATCTCTTCTTTTTCGCTCCTGTAGCCGAGATCGACATGGTGCATGGGCTTCTTAGGCTTGCTTTTTCGTCAAGATAGGAGGGCCGGTGAGGCTTGATCGGAGGCAGCAGCCTCTGGTGTCTTCTTTGGTTTTTCCAGCGAACAATAAAGATGACGAGAGAGAGAGAGAGAGTGAGTGAGCTTCTCCAAAACGTCTATTGAAAGTCGATAAAAGGGGATGTGTTGTTGGCTTTCTCCAATCTCGCCATCTGGTTGGGACAGAAGGGCGGTGGATACGGTGGTCGGAGGAGCAAGAGGGTAGGGTGGCGGCCGGTGGTGGGAGGCATAAGGATGGAAGTGACGGCTGGAGATGGTTTGATTAGGGTTACGGTGGTTTTAAAAAGCCTAGTAGCTGAAGTCAATGTTTACCATAATTATAAGATATTATTTGTGGAAACTAATTATAAAATCACCTATTTACCCTTATTTATTTATTTAATTATTTATTTATATTTTAAATTTTGATTGGCCCACATTTATGCATACAATAATACAATACTTACTTAAAACACCTGAACCTATCTCTCTCTCTCTCTCTATATATATATATATATATATATATATATATATATATATATATATAT